GTATTGGGCAGGGCATCGGTGCTCAGGCGACAGCCGGTAGTTGACTGAGACGACAATCGAGTGGATCTCACGCGCCATTCGACGGCAGAAGTCATCGTAAGGTTTGGAATTGGCAGCCATGAATGTAAAACCGCCACCGTGGAAGAAAATAATGATAGGCATGCTGTTACCGTCGCGGTCTTGAGTGGGTGTGTAGAGGCGGAACCAGAGGTTGCGGGAGGCATCGACTGTGACATCGGAGGACTTGACGCCGTTAATGGGTTTCTTGGAGGGAGGCGATTTGAAGTCCAAGAGGTTGAAGATACTACGGTTGATGGTGAAGTCGGGGCGGCGAGAGAGGTCGGTGAAGAAAGTCACGACGTAGCTGAACAACCGGATCTTCAGCGGAAGCTCCGGCGAAACTTTTGATTTTCTGGACATCTTTATCAAATCGATCAAAATGGAAAAAGAAAGATGTTTCCGATCTGAGTCAATGCAAGTATAATGGAGTCGGAACTAAATAGGAAATGTGTATGGATATCTGTAAGTCAAAAATGGAAATTAGGTGGCCCTTACAGTCTTCAACCCAAATTATATATATATATATATATATATATATTTTTTTTTTCCATGTCACATAACACGTTGGTAATTTTTCCATGTCAACATGCTATCTTGTCACATTAAATAGTTATTTATTTAGCTAAATTACCTATTTACCCTTAATTTGTTTTCAAATTTTCAAATCTCATCATTCCTCCTTTCTATCAATAGCAACCTCAAAATTCTAAAATTTTTTCACAACGTCCATCACTTTTATTAATGTCATGTGTTCTCATATGTTCGTTACCCCTCCATCCAAAATTAACATGTCACACGACACGTCAGTAATTTTTCCATGTAAACACGCCTCCTTGTCACATTAAATGTTTAGTTATTTAGCTAAAATACCTATTTACCCTTAATTTGTTTTCAAACATTTCAAATCTCATCCTTCCCGTCTAATCAATGCCAACCTCAAAATTCTAAAATTTCTTCATCACATTCATCACTTTTACTAATCTTTCTCTCTCCTCCTTTCTCTTCTCTCATTCTTCTCCTCTTTCATCAACCAAGGGAACCCAAATCAAGTTCCCCAAGAGAATACACCTCGGTTCTTGAGGGAATCCTCCTAAGAACCTAGATGGGGCTCTTTTTGGGTTCTCTGAATCTTTTTTTTTTTTTTGAAATAAATATATGAAAATTTGTAGATTTTCATGATAATTTGAGGATGTTTTATGAGAGTTTTATCAATGGAAGAAAAAAGATTTGACATAAATTACAATTTGGTGGTGGATTGTGGGGAGAAGAAAGAAATCCTAGTGAAATTGAATGGATGATGAAGAAGATGGGGGCAATTGCGTAATTTTATAAGTTAATATTTTAAATTTTATGTTTTATTTCTTGACAATTCAACATGGCAGCTTATGTGGAAAAATTGTTGACATGTTGTGTGACATGTCAATTTGACAAAGAGGTTACAAACAGGTGAGGGGTAGGTGACATTTTATCGTTAAATTGGTGCTAAAATTACATATCTAGGAGGTTGAGGGGCTTAAAATTACAACTTTATAAAGGACATCTAGGTTCCAACTTAAAAAGTTGAGAGGTCAAACAGTGATAATTGCCTATTAAATACATATTTATGGGCTGAGCCTGACCGGGCTCTGAAGCCCGTATCAAAGCCAAGCCTTGAAATTTTGTTGGGCTCAGACATTTAGCAAAACTCTGCCCCATGGCCCCCATCTAATCTCAACTAATAATAGATTTACAAATAATCAGACCAATTCTCTTTCTTCCCTTTCTGGCCTCACAAATCGCAACTGAAGAATTCGTGGACATCGAGATTAGTACATTGGCCTTCCCAAAAAATAAAACAAAAGATTTGTCCACTGGAAGTGTGTGCCCTTGTCTTTTTGGGTTTCCATTAGAAGTGGGTTCAAATGATAAAATTGTCTCGAGAAGTGAATGAATATAATACCTCAAGTTTTTGAATTTAAAGTGTCACCCAGTATATATAATTATATATTAAATCTTAAGCAGTAACTCCTGAGACACTAATCTCCCAAAAAATAGGACTCTCCCTAGTTCTTACATTCCTTTTGGTAAATATCTCAGTACAAATTCTCTAACCTTGCCTTCTTCCAATCTCCATTTGTCATCCCATACTTCTGTTACGTTAACAAACAGAACATGACATCTATATGTGAAAGCCAGTATGCAAGATAAAAAGAATTAAAAAGAAAATAGAAGGAATACTACATTTATAATGTTGTTAAGTATAATAAATTTTATAATATAACGTGATATTAAATAAATAAATACATATTATTTTATGAAGAGCACATAAATAAAGAGGATTAATTATAAAATACCACATTGTACTCTTCAAAATATTATGCTTAAAACGTTGTACATGGAGCATTTTCGAAAAAAAAGAAAATGTTGAATGGCTATAAACCAAACTGGATATTCCCTGAAATATCCGATTGAGTTTTCCTCTCCTCAGCCCCAAAATATGGTAAAACGATGCCCACTCGATCTCCTCTAATTCTGACGCTAACCCTTTATGTCTCTTTCCATATGACCGTTGATTTGATTTTATTTTGGTTTCTTCCCTTTTCTCCCTTATAACCAAAAAAATACGCCAACTTTTTCCTTTCTTTTTCTCTTTTTTCTCTTTTTCTTAGGTTCTTCGCTTACAATTTCGCTCCGCAAATCCTTTTCGGCAATGAGTTGATATTTTTCACAGTATCCTTGTCATTATCATCCAAGTGGAGGGTTCTACGCCACGCCAACATCTGGTGGCTAAATAGTAATCTTTCCCTTTAAAGATTTTGAATTTGAATTATATAAGATATAAAGATATAAGATTTTTATTTTAATATTTATTATTAGAGTTTTTTAAAATTAACATATTTTTATGTTTCATCTTTGATAATCTTAAAGATATATCTCATATCGACTTAAGAATTTAAAAAAATTAATTTCTTTAAGTATTAGTCACAAAATTTAAACTCTATATCTGATTTACAAAATGACACTTATTTAGAAGCAAATCCAACCTTCAGAATATATATAGATACATGTAATCAAATAAATCAAAGATGTTTATCTTTACTTGTGAAGGGTGTTTTCAACAATGTGCCATCGCCACCACCTTCTAAGGTATCTGATGCCCTAAGGATATGCTTGGGTTTATTCAATAATAGTCCATAAAAGCTATTAGTAAAAAAATATTGCTGTGAAAGCATGCAGCATATTTCGGAATGCACTTTTTCTTTTGGCTTAATTTAGGTAGGGCGTATATTTCATTATTTTGGGCATAAAGTGAACTCTTCACCTTTGTCTGAGAAAACAAAATTGTTGGAGAATCATTTCCATATTAATTCCACTGGCTGTTACTGGCAGTTTTGGATTTGTTTGAGGCATATACCATGTAACTTATATTCTACCTGGAAAAATTGCCATAGACATTGTTAATGTTTGTTTTTGATGCATCAATTTTAGTAATAAAAAGTACGAGAGACATTTCAAATCACAAACAAAATAAAAAGATGAAAAAAGTCATTATTTTACTCTAGGGAGCAGTTAATGACAAATTGAGGTAATGAAAGGTCATATTTTATTACGTGTATAAAATTATCTTAAAAGTTAAATTAAATAGACACTGAATAATTCATATTTTGTGGCAGGAACTGGCTGGATGGTGTAACAATTTACAGTTCAATCACGAAAGTTCTCGAAAGTTGATGGATTGGCCAATTGGAAAGGAGGAAACTATATATTGAACAGCCAAAATGAAAGATGGAGAAAAAGGGATGAATTTGATTGGTTAGGAATTGTGATTGCAAAGGAAAATAGAAAGATTTGTCCCATAGTCAAAGGTTAAGACAACAAGTATTTATGATGAGTGTTTGTAGCAAACTATTGCAAAGACCATATATAATCAAAGTAGAACAAAATTTTACTTTTTATGTACTAACAATCCCACTCTTTGCATAATTATTGTATTTCTTTTCAACATATAGTCACTTATATAATAATTTATTTGATATGAATCAACTAATTAAGTTAGACAATAACTTAATTAAACAAATTATGATTTAGAATGTGAAATTTAAAGACAGTTTCAGTTATAAATATTTATAATTTAGTAAAAAAAAATGAGAAGGCAAAACTCAATAAAAATCTTTAAAAATTTTAGTGAATCTTATTAACTATTAGAGAATATAAATTTACAAAAATACACTCAAAAAACAACCCTTTATGAGTTAGTTTTTGGACTTTTGCACTTGCCTTAAAAGAAAAGGAAGAGAGAGAGAGATCAATAGGAAAGGATGCATGATTTTGTATATTAAGATTGATTCTCCATGTTGGTTTAAAGAACATTTGGTTGCGATGTGGAGAATAACTGGAGAATAAGGATGTTCACAGTAATATGCCTACCGCTGGGAAATTTTTTTATAGATAGAAAGAACCAAAACCACCCAAAACATAATTTCCGTAAATTCAATAATTTATGGCTTGAGTTCTATAAAGGGCACTGCTTCTTCTCCTCCAACTTGGTTTCAAAGTGCAAGTGAGATTGAAAACGATACCCTCTCTCCCTCCCCCCTCTTTTCTGTTTACCAAAAACCATTTGCTATCAAAGAACCATCAATACCCAAAAATTCTAAAAAAGTTTTATATTTATCCTAGTGTTTTTTCATCTGTACATGTACGTTTTGTTGTCCAAGATTGATGGAATACCAACACTAGCAAGAACCATTTTATTCGAAGTTCATATTCACATTTGACCTTTAGCTTTTCAAATTACCTCAAAGAAGCTTCAAGTCATTTTTCTGTCTCCTCCTAACTCTATTTCTTTCTCTGCAAAAGTCTCCACTTATCTTTCTGATCACTAGATATCTTTCCAAGAAACGGAAACGGGCTTAGGAGGTCTAGAAATGGCAGGGAATGAATGGATCAATGGGTATTTGGAGGCTATTCTAGACGTGGGAAGCAGCACAAGGAAGAAGAATGATGGAAAGCTGAAGATTGAGAGGTTTGAAGAGGAAAAGTTAAAGGAACAGAAGCTGTTCAGTCCCACAAAGTACTTTGTGGAAGAAGTTATTAACAGCTTTGATGAGTCTGACCTCCATAGGACATGGGTCAAGGTTAGTTTTTAACTCTACACCTTTATTAATATTATTTCAAGACAAAATCATACATGTAAGCAATCAACAAACAGAGTAAATTCTGCTGGAAACATAATCAAATACCATAGACACATTCTCTAGAACTTTTGTCTACTAAATCTACAGATGACTGCAGCATTAAAATGGGGTTCTCTCTTACTGTAAGGAACTAATCATACTAGAATGGAAAACATCTGGTGTTATCATCGTAAGCACCAAATGTCTACTTAAAGAAAGAAGGAAACATTCGGTGCTTAGGATGATAACACCATTCACTTTTTCATTGTGCTGACAAAGCCTAGTAGTTGTATTCACAAGAAGGTAAAAAGTAAAAGAGGAAAAAGAGAAATTAGATGCTGAAGATATATTCTGGTTCAATTTGTCTTCAATGGTTCTTTTTGGTGGACCTGGTTTTTGGATTAGTGCTCATAATTAATGATATTAGCTGTGCCTCTCATGTTCAAATTTAAACCCAAA